TGGCTATCCCTTACTTTCCGTGATCCTCCTTGTACTATATTATATTTCCATAGAGTTGCTTCTGGAACATCTCTCAGGTAAAGGCTATGCCTTTCTCTTATTTGTAAAAGGAGGCCTTTTAACTTGAAAACACAGTAGGCCTAGTGTGAAGGTGGCATTGAGTTTGTCCCCTTATCTTTTTATGGAATACAGAGTTGACAAAATTACTGGTATTAGTTAAATCTCTATACAGAAATAGTTATCTGTTTATATCTGAGTTCATCAATATCTTGGTGAGAGAGACAGAGATAGAGACAAAGAGACAGAGAAAGAGAGAAATTATCTGCAATCTTCTCACAGTTATGAGTGCTGACATGTAAAAAAATCTATTTTGAGAAGCTACAATGTACTCCATAAGTGAGGAATTTGGAAATAGATTGAATTAGGACAAATGAGTGCATAACTACTTTAAATGGTTTTTAAAAACTCATAATTTTGGATCACGGAATTGGTTGCTTGCAGTTATTTAAAGTGATCAAGGACAAGAGTTTTCAGAAGGTAAGCAAATTCTAACACATTCTCAGGACTGCAGTCATATGTCTTACAGAACATAAGCAGGTTTAGGCATAGGATCCTGAAATCACATCATAATAAAACTGTTTTATTTTCTTTATTCTATTTCAATTTTGATTTTTTCCAGTGTGTGTGTGGGGGGGGGGGGAAGGCTCCATGTGGTACTGGTAAGCTTCTCACAGCTTCCTTAATTATGAATTGTCTTTGAAACTAAGAAAGTCACCTAAGAGGGTCACTGTCTTCAAACCCTACCAAGCAATGACATTGATTCATTTCCTATACTCACAGTCATTAATTTATGCAAAGTAATAGTGGCTTATTAGTTATGGAACAACATAAATTTATATTTTTAAAATTACTTAAGTCCAAAGGTGTGCTGATTTAGAAAAAAAATTAAAAGTACATAAAATGATCCTACTTTGCTGGCAAGAAAAATTCTAAGATAATTTATAGATGATTGACACTTGGGAAACTTTGGGAAGGTGCATAGTACACTGAGCTGGGTAATCAGAAACTTAGTACATAATGCTAATTCTAATCCTGTCACTTCTTATCAGATTGTCTTTAGATAGATGATGAATATTTCATGCCTTCATTCTTCATCATCCAATAAATATAATGATATGTGACAATGTGAAGATTAAAATCAAATGAGGGATAGTAAAATACTATAAAATTTGAAAGTTGCATGTATGGAAGTTTTACTATGTATCTGAAATACCAATTTTGCTTTTTCTCATCTAAAATCAATATTGCTACCATTTAAGAAAGGACGGGCTGGAGCGATAGCACAGCGGGTAGGGCGTTCGCCTTACAAGGGGCCAACATGGCCGACCCGAGTTCGATTCCTCCGCCCCTCTCAGAGAGCCCGGCAAGCTCCCCGTGATGTGTTCGATATGCCAAACACAGTAACAACAAAGTCTCCAATGGAGACGTTACTGGGCCCGCTTGAGCAAATCCACGATCAACGGGAGGGCCTTTACCTTTACCTTTACCTTTTAAGAAAGGACAATGTTATCTGTGTCTCCATAGGATCATGTAAGTTATCAATGATGTGTATTTGTGTGCATGTGTATGAGAGAGAATACCATTTGCAGATTCTCTATTCCTTCTTCTAAATACTGCTGCTGTGTTTATATATTAAATACTATACCCTCAATTCTAAAGCTAATAGATTATATGTTTTTTCTCTTTCTTTTCTCTGGTGATTTAATAAAAAAAAGAGAACTAAATTATGCTTAGAAAATAAATAACTTAATAGATCTGGTGTGAGTGTTCCTGTAAAGATAGCAGTGGTTTGGCGGCAAGTGCCAGAGCTGGCGGAAGGACAGCAGTTCTCAGTGCTCTGAACAGTTAACGGGGCTATAAAATTTCTGAATGTGGGTGCACGCCCCATGGATATTCTGTATCAGGAAGAGCGCCATTAATCGAAAGTGGCCAGTTGTCAGCTATAGAGTGCTGGAAGTGCTGGACTGGAGTGGGACTCCTGAGAATAGTAGCAGCACAGCTGCCAGCTGGCGGAGCTATTGCAACTCCTGGCACTATGGGTGGCAGCAGAGTTTTAACTTGTCTGAATAGAGTTCTTTGAGTCCAAATGGATCATGGGTTCTGGAGTTGAGAGGGCACCCTAGATTCCCACCATGGCAGTTCACCACCAACTGGGCAGCTCTGCCACTGTTTCTTCCCTAGATCAGCTCTGGCCACCAGCAGGATATTACCTAAGCGCCAACTATCTGGAGACTATCAGGTTGGGGGCAGGTGCCCTCTGGTCAGACTCTGCTGGACAGGTGACTGTGGCCCACCCAGAGTGTCTGAGCCCTGGCCACTGCTACCCTTAGGGCCCAGGGAGCATGGTGCTGTCAGCAGGTCAACCTGCACCCACTGGTCAAATGCATCAGCAGTCAGATGGTGCCTTCAGGCTTTCTGATGCATGGAATATTGCCCCTGTGCCTCTGTCCAGACCCTAACACTCAGGACCAAGTTTCCAGAGAAATTAAACTGCCAAAAGTTAGGTATATGGGATCCACACTCACAAACCACCTCTGGTTCAGCCATAGAAGCTCAGTTATTGTCCTTGCTTCGAAGATCCATAAATAAATCTCAAAAGAGATCAAAAGACACAGATAATCTCAGACCCGGCAAGGCTGAACAGACTGGGATACATCAGAAGAGTCGGGTTAACCCAGTCCTGCCCAAACAGAACCCCTGGTTTTCACTTGCTCCCACAATCCAGAATTGCCACCATACCTCCTCAGCCATACTCGTGTCTCACTGAGATATTAATCTGCTGAAAATTCGGGTATGCAGTTTTCATGACAAAATCTCCGGGCTTTCTTGGGTCATGATGGGCTATCTCCCCCTACCTCCTTATACTTCCGGAAGTCCCAGCAATCACATCCACACTGCAAAGCTATCACCCAGCTAAAAAAAGCTACTCCAGCTACATCTTCTCAATAAAATTACTGAATACCCTAAACCAACAGAGACCACTTAGTACCTGTATTGCAAACCATCATGCACAAAAGGAGAGAGAGAGAGAGAGAGACAGAGACAGAGACAGAGACAGAGACAGAGACAGAGACAGAGACAGAGAGAGGTGCCTGTCATAGAGGCAGGTTGGGGATGGAAGTAGGGTAGTGAGAGAGAAACTGGGAAGACTGGTGATAGGAAATGTACACTGGTGGTGGGATGGGTGTTCGAACATTGGATGACTGAAACCCAATCATGAACAGCTTTGTGATGGTCTATCTCATGGTGATTCAATAAAAAAAAAGAAATAGATAAAGAAAGATTACCAAAAAGGGGAGAAAAAATGAGTTTGAATGGTGTGATTCTTTTAGACAAACCTCCTTTCTTTTTCTGATGTATCTCCCCTTTAAACAATCCTTGATTTTGCTAAAGTTCCTTTCTCCCCTTTTCTTTAGATGGAAGTTACTATAATGATGCAGTATAGGTCCAAGCTAAATAAAATAATCCACTTCTTTGAAAAAAATAGGAGTTATTCATCTCAGTGCTGAATAAAAGCATAATTTGTCTATTTAGGGATATTAAAAATAATGAAGTATACATTCAAATCCAAATTATTTCTTGATCCAAACTTTTACATGAAAATCTTACTGTAATTTTTCATTGTTCTTAAAAACTCAGATTTTCAACAGACTATGATACCATCTCTTCACCATATATATTTTACTATTACACAGTGTCCTCTTCTATAGACTGACATTTATTTCCTCTTCCAATTTAGTCTCTTGCTTATCCTTGAAAGAAAGTTGTTTTGGTTAAAGTATCGTGGTTCAAGGGGGTTAAAGATATGGCTCAGTACATTAGCTGTCTTGCCTGAGTGTGGTATGAAGGTTGATCTCCTGTTCTCAAATGAAAAAATATATATATAATTGTTCATTAAAATTTTGTATCTATTTTATATGAATAATTAATTTATCGGATGTATGTTCATTTGTGAAATAAAGAATAATCATGTACAGAGAAATAATGTAGTAATTGTGGTTTGATTTCCCATTCTATTAAGCAAGATTTATTTAAATAATTGCTGCTGGTTTAGAAAATGATAGCCATAATAATCTCATGGTATGTAATTATTTGTGTAATTATAGTCTAGGTTAGCAATTCTCAAACTTGAACTGTCATCAAAATTATCTAGAGGGTTTGTTAAAGAATAGGTTTCCTGATCCACTCTCAGCCTGATTCAAAAGTTCTGGGATAGGCCTATAGAACTGCATTTCTAGCCTCTTGTTGATGTGAGGCTGATGCTGCTATTCTGGGATTACAGCCAGAGAACTGTGGATTTAGTTGAAGGCAGGATAACCAAACAGTGGAAGCACTGACTGGTGAGAGCTCCAGATTTCAACCCTGCCTTTGATACTAGCTCTATCATTTAGACAAAGTAGAGATCAATTGCATAATCTGTAAAATGGTAAACCCTTATATTTGTTAGAATATTAAATGAATGCTTATTAAGTCTTTACAACCATTCCTACTATGCAATGAGAGCTTACTAAATTCAACATTAACTGGTGGTTATGATAGTTAACATGGCATTAGAAGTAATAGTGATAATAGAGAAAAGTAATGTTTACCTTTAGTTCCATTGCAGTAATACCTTTCTAGGGAAGTTTTGACAGAGAGCCTGGCTTTCACAGATAACTTTGTTTCTGTAAGAAACATTCTGCACAGAAAAAAAATACATAGTAGAGAAAGGTCCTGGCTGTGAAGAAGAACTTTGAACAATGTGTTAGATTTGCCAGGGATACAGTTCCACAATAGATTACTGGCCTTGCATATGTGAAGCACTAAATTCAGTCTTCAGCAGTGCCAAAAAAATCTTTATATTCAAATATGAATTGTAATTTAATAAAAATGTTTATCATTTTTTAAATAAGATTCGCAATATTCAGAACTTACGGTATGTGTTACTTTCCTTCCCTTAGCAACAAGAACAAGACCCAACAAACCTCTACATCTCAAATCTCCCCATTTCTATGGATGAGCAGGAGCTTGAGAACATGCTGAAACCCTTTGGACATGTCATTTCCACAAGAATACTGAGAGATGCTAATGGTGTCAGCAGAGGTGTTGGCTTTGCCAGGTAAAACACTTGCTCCATGTATTATTACTTGTCTTTTATTGTTTCCTTTAAAATCCATGTCTTCCTAGTACTAAGACACAAGGCAATAGAATGTTCCCAAAACAGAAAGTAGCCAACCAAACTGACTCTATCTTTTTGGGTCCAAGCAAAGACCTCAGTGTAATTATAAATGTATTTTGCTTCCTAAACTATGTACATAAAAAGTTTCTATGTTTTTCTGGTCGGAGTGTTATGCATGCCCCAAAACCAACCCTCCCTATGTTGATTAACAAAATCAGCTGCTGTTGATTTCTGCTTGGGGTAATAAAGTCCCTATACCCCAAAGCTAAAGAAGAGTGGTTATCATTTTAAAGTTAGAGCATTGTTTATAAAGGAGGAGCTTAGCCAGAAACGGAGTTAAAATACTTGTGCCTGCTGTACTTTTGGGGAAAACAAAGCTATAGAAACAAAAGAGAAAAAAATAGAAACTGCTTACTAACAAAGAAACAAAGTAAAAACAATGTCATCCTTACTTGGTGCCTTTATGTATCTACTGCTGACTTAATATGAATAAAGGGATAGATGTTAGTGTCACCTGAGAGTTAGTTTAGTCTATTGTAGACCCACCTGTGTGTCTACCTATGATGAAATTCTGACCTCACTTAGAAAACCCCTCCAAAACAATGTCTGTTAGTCCACTTAAACAAATCATGATGTAATCTGTTAAGAGATCTCTAATGGCCTCATAGAAGTGATGGACCAGGTCTTAAAATTCTTATTATTCTCTGCAGTCCCCTACATACAGTACACCAGGCTTGAGGACTTGAGGAAAAAGAAGCAGAATTAAGGAAATAGCCATGACTTGATTGTACGCATGAGGCATTCACATTTTCTAAAAAAAAAAAAATCTTAACTCCGGGTATTCATGGTCAAAACAGAACTAACACACCGCCTGGGACTCTGAATTTTTGGCACTGTCTTCATTCTTAGATATTAGGACAATGTGCTCAGGGGCTCACAAGAGTGACTGCTGGGCTTCCTTTTATAACAAAATCTTTCGAAAGAAATTTCTTAGAGAGAGGGTTTTTGTTTTTCTCTTTTACTTGTACTCCTGCTGAGAAACGAGCAGATTTAAAATTCATAGAGAGAGCACATTTTCTCAAAATATCTATGATATTTTGTTTTGATCTGTTTCTAAAAATGGATAGCATACAATTATATTTGTTCCTAAGACCATCGTGACCCATAGACTTAGAGAACGAAAATGTACAACCTCACAATTCCGCTGGTTTGAAATAAGATATTAGGGTAGTTGCTTTAGTTTCTATTTGAGATCTCTTTGTCTTGTGCCCCTATTGTGGTGTCTGGGTCTAAATTTTCTCCTCTTACAAAGACAGTCTGATTACCCAGTGGTCCAGCCAGATAATATCATGTAATTTAACTACCACATTAAGGGCTCTACTTCAAATACAGTCATATTCTGAAGAATAACTGCATTAGGATTTTGCAGTGTATATAATTCAGCTCATAACAGAAATATTGAGCTATTCACTTTTCTCACCTTTGTCTTTTCTGTTTACTTTTAATGTTTGCTTTGAAATATCAAAATGAGGGACTAAAGAGTAGTTGGAAGGCACTTGTTTTACACTTGGTTGACCTGTTTGATCCCAGCACCCAAGTCTGTCAGAAGTGTTTCCTGACTGCAGAGTCACGAGTGTTCCTTGAGCATTTCCAGTTGTGCCCCCAAACCAAAAAATGAACAAATAAATAAAATGTTAACATAAACCCAGGGGAATAAGGGGAGAGGTAGAGTGTCTAGTTTTGCATGATACTGGATATTGCTTAGGGTATCTATCTGGTTCTGAGCTCAGGAGTTATTCCTAATGGTCCTCGGGGGATGGGAATTGAAACTAGGGTCAGCTGCATGCAAGGAAGCACCTTACCTGATATATTAAAGTTCCTTTCCAAAGACTATTTTTGAGAAACATAGAGCATATCCACATTTTAGGATAGGAAGAGGCAATGATATTGTCTTGGAGTATGCTGTTGTGAAAGAGTAAATCTTACCAAGCCGTTTTTACTTTATATATGAGGGAGAATGGACATTTAAATGATCATTCTATGTACACTCTGAATGTAAGCTCTACCTCTTTCTGTGAATTTCACATAGATAAGCCACACTTGCTATTTTTTAAAAAAATATTCAACTTGGAGTGGGTCTTGAACAGGGTCAAGTGTGGCCCCAAAACTAATCAGACAAATGAATGGTCAGCCACTTTGTCAGGAGTCTGCTTCTACTCCTCTTTACTTCGCTGATTACTGACCTGACCTCCCCAACATCTCCTCATCATGGTCCTTGACACCATTCACTTTCTTGTCATCTGAATAGCTACCTCACAACCTAAGTACAACCTGTCTTTTTTGATACTCACAATAATTTTCACTGAGAGCTAGAGAGAGAGACTACAGCAGTAAGGCACTCTCCTTTCATGTGGCTTCCCTGGGTTCAATCCCTGGCACCAAATATAGCCTCCTGAGCCCTTCAGGAGTGAGCCTGATGACAAGAAAACTCTATCTCTGTGTAACAGTTCTTGTTACCTATTCACCTCTCAGGTTTTGATTTAAATACCTTCAATAAACCCCTCAGCAGCGACTTCCAACTCCACATAAGGTGAGGTGCCCTTGTCATGGCTCACATCAAAGCTTTGGGGGTTTCCTCCCCCAAAATAAAATTTAGCACAGTTACTCTGCACTTATTATTTAATTTCTGTTTTTTCCCCACTAGATTTCATATTTCCTTAGAATATTTTTCTTGCATTGCTGGATGGCTATAAGAAATTTAGATTATGTAACTACCCTTTCTGCTCAGTTTCTGAATGACTGAATTCTGGGCAATGGTCTATTAAAACTGTGAGCATTGGTTGAATTCTGTCTCATTTCAAAACTAAAACTGAGATCTCTCCACTCTAAATCATAAGTTTTCCACTTTCAGAAGGTGGCACTTCGGAAGGAAAGCATTGGTTGAAGTCATGGCAATGGTTTCTTTTATTTTTTTAATTGATTGAGATCCTGTGGTTTACTATACTGTTAATGATGGCTTCCCATGCACATAATTCCAAAAGCACACTCATTACCAGTTGTGCCCACCTCCTTCCCCAAAGGACCCCAGCACCTCCTCTTTCAACATGTCTATACAGCTAATGATTTACTTTCCGTAAGGAATCAAAAGAAAACAAGTCAGATTCTCTTGCAAGAAGACAGGAAATTGACACAGAACAAGTGCTTTATCAAACACCATGTGTCTTAAACATGAAATTCCAAAGAGCAGGATCATGTACAATTTATCTAATTTGATGCTGAAGTGAGAAATAATTCAATCTATTCTATATGTAAATAGCTCTGCCCAAAGTCCTACTTCCTCACAGTTTAGCATTCACTCTGCATTTTCTCAAACAAGATAATTTAACTATTACCTTATCTAACTCAGTGGCTCACAAATCAACTCTTATATAGCTTTGCCTCCTTTAAAAAAATATTATTTTCCCACTCAACCTTTTCATCCAGAATTCCTCCTCTGAACAAAGCTACAATTTATCTAATTCACTATTTTCTCAAGTCTTCTAATGATAGAATGGTGGAACATGGATAACAAAAAGTTAAAGGTTTACATGCAAGAGTCTGTAGAATAGTGATTCTTAGTGTATAGCTTCAAAAATAAGTAGGTTTACTGGTGGTGGGGTATTTGTTACAAGTGCAAAATTGCTGGCTCCACTCCAGACTTAATAAATCAGCAACGGGTATGGATAAAGCAAACTGTATATTTAAGTACTTTTTTAAAAAATATTTTATTTTGTTTTGGGGGTCACACCTGCTAGTGCTTAAAGGCTACTCCCAGTTTGTTGCTTTAGAGGTAGCTTCCAGTAACACTTAAGGGACAATATAGCTAACATAGGCCTCCTAAGTATAAAGGATACACACTAGACCTTTGAGTTTATTTAGCAGTCCCCATATTCATAAGCACTTTGGGTGGATTAATTGCTCTCCAGATTTTGGAATCAGTGCTTATTAGTATTAGATTTCAGAATTTAGAAGGCCTCTTAAAACTTAGATTTGTAAGTCTTATTCCTAGATGTTTTACCAGATAGAGCTAATTCCTTTCAGTGTCATTCTCAACCTCAACCACTTTTTCCAAAATTTTCTAAAATATACTCATCATGAATTGATCTCCTCTTTTATTCCTTTACTAGGTATTCTTCTCCATCTCATTAATAACATCTAGAATCTTTTCTAAGAAATAATTGATCTGAAAATTTGATGAATTAATGAGATCATTCAGCCTTTTTGCTTTGCTGTTTGCATGACTTGAACAATAGAAATATGCAGTGGGATAGTATTTGATAATAATAAGTCAGTTCTAAAATGGGTGTCCTATATTATTGGAGAAAATTATAGCAGTGTCAGCACAGGGATTATTGTTATGCAAATGATTTCTTTCTCAAAAATTTTAGTGTCACCAGCATTATTAAAACAAATGCTTAGCTCATGGAAAAAGGGCCAGTCTATATTTGTGCCTAAAAATTTCTACAGATCTGCATTTCTACCTATCTCAATCCACAAAGCACTGGAATGATAGCACAGTGGGTTGGGTGTTTGCCTTGCAAGCAACTGACTTCGAGGAAGCAACGGAGTTCAATTTCTCTGCCCCTCTCAGACAGCCCAGCAAACTACAGAGAGTATCTTACCCTCATGACAAAGCCAGGCAAGCTACCCATGACATATTCGATATGCTAAAAGCAGTTACAACAGGTCTCGCATTGGAGACATTACTGGGCCCAGCAAATCGATAAACAATGGGAGGACAGTGATACAGTGTTAAATATGATTCTCAGCAGGCTTTGTTTTGAATACTACCTGTAGTCATTTCTAACAACCAGATTTGGTCCTGGATTCAAGTGCAGAAGATTCTAAAATTTGATGAGAAAGAAAACTCCCCATTATTATTTTATTCTAAAGCTAGACAT